CCTATTTAGGTTACAGACACTATTTTACCTCCATGTACTTATTCGACAGATATTTACTGAACACCTACTATGTGCCACACATTGTTCTAGGCACTAGAAATACAGAAGTGAACAAAGGAGGTAAAATCTCTATCTTCATGGAGCTTGCCTTCTAGTGGGAGAAACACAAGATAGAGACAGGTAGAATTTATGGTCATAATAGTCACAAAGGCTAAAAGGAAATTAGCGTAGGCAAGGTGGGGATAAAAACCTAGAGGAGTGTCATCTTCAACAGGGTAGCCAAGAGAGGCTTCACTGAGAAGGGGAATTTGAGAAAAGAGGGAGTGAAGAAGTGAGTCAAGCAGGTGTCTTGGAAAGAACATTCCAGAAAAAGGTTCAAACTGCTTAGTTCAAAACTGCTTAGAAGAGAGCCAATGTGATATGTTGTAGGAATAGAAAGGGGGTCAGTGCAGTGGAAGCACAGTCATGGATGGTCGGGGAGTATAAGAAGCCAGAGAGTTACAAGTGGTGAGGCAGTGTAGAGCCTTATTCATCTGACGTTCTGGAAAGCCTTTTTCTTTTTCTCTGAGAAGAGACAGGAAGACACTGGAAAAGGTAAGCAGAGGAGTCATATGAAGAGCCTCATGTACTCATAGTATGGCTCTGGCTGCTGAACCTGGAGTGTGGGGTGGGGCCAAGATGGAAGCCTAGAGAGAAGTTAGAAGGCCACTGCAATAAACCAGCTGGGAAATAATGGAGGCTCTCTCCAGGCTGGTAGCAAGGGAGATAGTGAGAACTGGTCAGATTCGAAATGTCAATGCATCAGGAAGGCATAGCTGCAGGATTTGTAAATGAATTGAATGCTGGCTGTGAAGAAGAAGCATGAAGGATGACTCCCAATGTTTTTGACCCCAGCAACCAGAAAAATGGAGCTACCCTTTGCTGAGAGGAGTAAACGGGAGAAGCAGGTCTGGGGAAGGGGTGCACCAGGAGCTCATCTATCCAGAAAGGGATGCTGGCAAAGCGAACAGTATTTTAGATACAGAATCTTTATAAGGCCATGGCTCTCATATTAAGAATTCCAGTTCTACCTAAGAGCTGCCTCCTTCACTCAATCATTATTTTATATTCACTCACTCATTCATTCTTTTATTCAACAAATGCTTATTGGATGTCCATTGTGTGCCCAACGGGTGCTTAGTCTCAGACATACAGTGAGCAAGAAATACTCAGTTCTTTTTCTTATAAAACTTACAATACAGAGGGGAAATAAACAACTGTGCAACTACATCTATCGTCATATATGGTAATTACCTATAAATAAAACAAAAACCCACTAATAAATAAAAAGTAACTTGCCCATGTAGCTGGGGAGAGACAGGGTTGTAACGCAAACACAAGTTATCTTCCTCCAGCCCGCTGGACGGCACAGGGAGCTCAGCTAGGTGATCTGTGGTGACCAAGAAGGACAGGACGGGGGTGGGGCGGGAGGGAGCCCCACCAGGGAGAGGATATATGTGCACATGTAACTAACGAGGAAAGAGGACGTCCAAGGATAGCAGACCTTTCAAGCTGCCCCCGTGTTTAGGTGTCCTGAGGGCCTGCTTTCCTATCAAGCCTGGAATGGACAATATGTGGGAATCTTCTGTATGTCCGAATGTTACCCTGGGAAATTTATACCCTTCATCCTTTTAGACCCTCATTTTCTCATCTCCAAAAACTGGGCTAGATCATTTTCAAGCTCAGTAACTATGACCCCCACATTCCTAAAATCTCAGCATTTCTGCACCCTAACTATATTTCTAAAATAAAGATTCTGCCCTCTAGAAAGTACACTTTGTATACCTGCATGATCCCTTCAAATGGTCATTCAATCCAACAGCGTGATTATGATAATAATCCAAATCAAATAACCACAACAAAACACTTCAGGGTCTGGGTAAAGAATTTCAAATTTTAGCTACTATTTAAAGTACTTATTTACATTTACTTCTAAAACATAGTTTTAATCACCATGCATTGTCCACAATCACAGTACTTTTTCTAGAACTCCATTAATGTCCTAAAACAGCTACAAAATACCCATTAATGGAAAATATGGATTTTCTTCTGTTAATTATAAATTACTTGTGAGTGCTGGTATACTAAATTAATGGCACTGACTACAGAAAACAATGCCCAAATAAAATACTACTCTATACTGACATATTGTTTTAAATGTCTAATTAAATCATTCAAGTTAAATTATCTCATTTTGTAAGTAGAAAAAAATGAGGTTTACAAAATTTCTAGGATGGCTCTAAATCACATGTCACTAAGAAGGTTCTAAATCCGAAATTATTACTTATAAACTCATGACTCAGATCACTGAATTATTACTATTAATAAATGCTAATTTTTTTAAGTAAGTAATTCTGTTGTACAAGTAAGAAAAATATATGAACCTGGTAACTATAATAAAATTAAACTATGGGGAAAAAATGTATCATTCATTCTGGAACCTAAGTGACTTACCACCTTCTACCAGAGTGCAACAGTAACCTTGGTTCAGATAATTAAACCAAGAACAGTCTTGCGTGTATATATATATATATATATATATACACGCACATACACATATATATATAATATATATGTTTAATCTTCATTGGCAGAACCTATGTATAAATATTTTAATCATGTTTAAATTAACTATGGTTAAAGAAATGTGCACATGAAGTAGCAAAATATCATGAGATATCTGAATGAATGATTTCGGTAATTCTAAAGAATTTTTTCACCAACCTGTCCCACTAATCTAGACACATCTGAATCAACATATTATCAACATATTCACATGAGCACGGCATGATGACCTCCACATGGTAAATTAGGGCTTCCTTGGTTGCTCCCTGGTAAAGAATCTGACTTCAGTGCAGGAGAAGCAGGTTGGATCCCTGGGTCGGGAAGATCCCCAGGAAAAAGAAATGGCAACCCACTCCAGTATTCTTGTCTGGGAGATCCCATGGACAGAGGAGCCTGGTGGGCTATGGTACATGGCATCACAAGAGTCAGACTCACTTAACTAAACCACCACCACCACCAGCATGGGAAATTAACAGAGAAACTGCTGTTTAAAAAAAAAGTTACAATGTAAATATGCAAAGAGATGTGTGTATTTCATAGATAGAGAACTTTACTGATTTCCACTGTGTGGAAATGGGAAACAAGCTCTGTTGCTACATAACATAACTTTCAAAGGCTACAAACCCTAGCCTCTCTTCTTTCTTATCCTCCAGACCTCCATTTATTCCTTCTCCTTCCAATTCACTCTTTTTCTCCTTTACATGATCCCCCAATTCAGCATGATACCTTCCTCTAATATTTTCACCAAGAATAATTCATCCATTTACCCATCCATTTAATTGACCTTATTGTTGACCTACTATGTGCCAGGCACAAGACTGTCCTCTGGCCATCAAAGATGAACAATAATGTCCCGGATTTCAGGGAAGATGAAATCTAGTAGATGCTGGACCCCACAGTTAAGGAGTTGGAAGTGAGTCAGTTTCCTAAAAAACAGATATCACCTGCCCTTTGCTGCAGGGCATGTATTTTTTTCCATCTACTTTCCAGACCACATCTCTTACAGACTATAAGCTCCCTGAACACTGGGACAACACATCAGTCATTTCTATCACCCCAGCATCTAACACAATGCCTGGCACATACTGGGCCTCATAAATTGTTTTGCATGTATAAATCTGAGTAAATGAAATTAGGTAATCACTATGCATCATGAATAACTTACCAAAAAACAAAACAGAATTTAGTTAACAATCTCCCTTTCCCCACAAAGTGCACCCTTGGTACCAGAAGCTGAGTGGGATACTGGTTTCCTAAGCACAGACGGTCCTAATCTGGAAAAATGATGCTTCGTTGACTTCCCGGAATAATCTCATCTCATTTAATATAAAATTCCCTGAGAACCTTCTCCAGTTGAGAAAAGGGTGAGCAAGCTGCCCGCGCCACCTTCCCTTTCTCTCTGCGGGGCTCTGCTCCAGGCAGGAGTGCAGCTTCTAAGAACTTTTCTCCAGGTTCGAAGTTTGGTCAATTGATAACGAATAAAAGCTCCTTCCCGAGGCGGGTTAGAGAGGACGGAACCTAAAAAGATCTGAACGTGCCCTGGGAACAAGCGAGCAGAGCGCCGAGGGTCTCTTGAGTTCACCGGGTCTCCCCCGCCCTACCCGCCGCGGGGAACAGCCTGACGACTGCGGCGACCCGCGGCCGCGCAAGGAGGGCAGCCGAGACGGGGAGCCTGAGGGTCCGGGGGACGGGCGCAGCGCTGGTGCTCTCGGCCTCGGAGAAGCCGCCCAATTACAAGAATTAGCCACTGAAGCTCCAACGGCGCCCAACTGCAACTGTAGCGTCCCGGAGCATCACACCCGCTCTCTTCCTGGACCGCTGTTTCCCCCGTAGAGACTGGAGCATCTCAGAGGACCCCCCAACTTCCCACTCCGAGCCCCTGGATCTGGACTGCCCGGAATCCCCACCCTTCACCGTCGCTGCCTGGTGCCGGGTTCTTCTGTCTCCTGTTGCCCCGGTCTTCCAGGGTCCGGCAGCGGCAGCGATGCTCCACCCCAGGCAGCCCCGAATGAGAAGCCACTCTTTTCCTAGACTCACCCGTTTCCAACCTCTGAGACCCTCCTGGCTCGCCACTCCAGGGTGGCGCTCCAAGGTCACCAGAGTAGGTGTGACAACCAACCTCCACGTTCTCTCTCCCCAAATCCCTCCCTTTCCAAGACCCCTATGGCCGGTTCCCTGCGCGTTCCCCCTCGCAGGTGGAGGATCTCCTCCCCTGGCTCCATGGGATCCCACCCAGCCTTGGTCCCCCTCGTCCTCGACCCTCCCGTGACGCTCACCTCTCCCGGCTAGGGTCGCCGGCAAGTCTGCTATCCTCAGAGGACGAGGGCAGGAGATAAGCCTCCCCCTCTCTCCAGGGGAGGGACAGAGAAACCGACGCAAACTTCTGCTGCACTTACTTCGGGCCGAGGCTGCCGCCCCCTCTTCTCTCCTCGCTTTCCTACAGGCAGCTGCTTCACGGCCGTGACCTGGAGCCGGCGCGCTCGCATTCCCCGCACCAGAGCCGCCGCGAGATGCGTAGGGCTGGGAGGTCTCTACCGGACGAGCGCGCCCGGGGCCCGAGTCCTGGGGCCGAGGTCGGGCCGCCGCGCTGGGCGGCGAGCTAAGTGGCGACCGCCCCCAGCAGCCCGGGGATGCTGCGCACGGCGCCCCGCGCCCAGCTCCTCCGCTGGGTCGTTTCTGTCCCAGTTGCAGTTTCAGTGCCTGCCAGGTCTGCAGCACCTTCTCCGTCCTTCCCAGGAAACGACTTTCAATCCACCTGGCGGCTCGCGAGGTTTCCCCGCGGGCTGGCAGCGCCACAGCGAGTGCAGAGGAGAGGGAGGAGCGCGGGAGCCGCGGCCGCCCCAGTGCGCCTCCAGCTTCCCAGCTGGGCGAGGAGCGCGCGGCCCTCTCCAGCCGCTCTCCTCGGGACTGCAGTCCTGACGTCACCCCGCCCCCCCACCCGGCGGAGGAGCCGCGCGGAGGGTGGGGTGCGGGGAGCGAGGACGCTGGAGTGTGAGCGGGACTGTGAGCGCATGTGTGTGCACGCGCGCGTGGGCCTCGCCAGCCCGGGGACGGGTCGGAACCGCAGCTGGATCCTGCGACGAGACAGAGACCGAGCTCCCTGCAAACTGGAGCCGAGGGGCGGCCGTGAACAGCCGGGGGCGCTCGGTTCCAAGTTGGGGCGGCGATATTACGCACACCGAGTTTGGATGCGACCAAAGGGGCTGGATTAGCGCGATAGGAGGGTTGGGAAAGCAGGAGTTGGGCACTATCTTCCCCCAAAGTTGGAGGAAGCACGAGACGCCTTTAAAAACCTGCACTAGAGGTACAGGAGGAAGAGGGGAGTGGACCGAGCGAGCGGGTTGATTTCACACTCCTGTAAGAAGGAGGCGGGATGAGGAGCTCCATGAGTCCTCCGGGCCTCCAGGGCCGCCGCAGGTCCCAGGAAGGAGCCCTCTTGGATGCGCCAAGGGCGGCTCTGGCCTGCTCCGAGCTCACCTCCAGCCCGCCGCCGCTGCGCACTGAGTTGATGCAAAGAGATCAAAGGGGCCGGGCCTTCCGCACCTAATTCCCCGCCCCGCGCGACTCTGGGGGAGTTTTCGACAGAAGCTGGGTAAACCCTCCCGGAACCAGAGAAGAGGCCACGGCCGGGCTCCAGATGCCCCATACCCTGTCGTTGGGTCTGAAGCCGTGGTGGTTAGAACTCTGCGCCGAGTCCCTGGAGATCGTCGACCATCGTAGTGCGTCTCCGCCACCCACCAGGAACTTACTCTCGGAACCTGCCTAGTTCTCTGAAGTTATACTGGGGACCCAACAGGGAAGTGACTTTGAGAAAGGCGCCAAATGAAGGGTCTGAAGAGGTTCTAGAATGGCTAAAGGTTTGTCCCTCTGCAGCGACCCCGCCGTCAGTGGGGCAGAGTGCGCGGCTCCTTGCGCCCGCGGCACTCTGTACCCTGCGGCTGTGCCCATCTCCCGGCCGGCCGCAGCCTCAGGGTCGGCGCAAAATGTGCAGGAGCGCCTCCTGCCCAGGCTGGATCCGCTGTCAGCAGCGAGGCGTCAGACACGCACTGCAGTGACCAAGCGAGCAGCCAGCAATTTTGCCCTGGTCGAGTGGCAGTGCTTTTTAAACGCAAGGTCATCCTTCCTGAATCCTGATCACCGAGATGCCTCTTTCGTGAAAATACTTCCTTAAAATGGAAAAGGTGACGGTAGGAAGCGGGAAAGAAACAGAATGGGAGGAAAACGACCCCCTGTCCACAAACACGCTTTTAACTTCAACTTCTCAAAGTTACTCAAAATATGATCCAGAAGAAGCAGAAAGTTTCACTGCAATCTTGAATCTCTAAGGAAACTGAACAAAATAGAAGCAAGTGTGGAATCTTGGTCTACTGTTTTACGTTTAATAATCTTAGGAATTCCCGGAAAAGAGAATTCTAGCTAATTAGGCAATGTCATGGATATCCTTAACTAGGGGTTGGAGTTAACAAATAAATAGAATACTTAAAATTAGTAAAGATACAGCATGTTCCTAATTAGAACAGAGAACAAGGGAATTTCAGAGGACACTGGGTACCAGCCTCCAGGCCCTCTTGCAACCGACCTATTTTTTAATATATAAATTTAAAAACACCCTGTCATCATGAAGGAATTACATAACCAAGTCCTAGTGATGTGTGTTTCAGAAACAGCAATTCCTCAGCAGGAATCACTGTTCCTAATAATGTTAATTCAGATTAATAGTGTGGGAATAAGCAAGTCATTGGCCAAAAAAATAAAAAGGTTTGAAAACAAGATGGTGAAGTGGCAGCTATGCTGGTAGTGTGAGCCTTTTAAGTTGGGTCACAATTCTAGGTGCTCCATGTCAACAGCTCATTAGTGATGCTATATTAGCAGGTATGACAACCTGGCTGACACAGCCACAGTAAGTAATGGCTATTTGATGTGGCAAGCCTAAACATCCTTTCTTGATTTCCTGTTGTTATTTGGTGCACAGCTGCAGGATAACTTTCTTCACATTCTGAACGGATTGATTGTTTGCATATCTGTCTTGCTTCTAAATTTATAATCTCCAGGGCAGTAATTTTGTCTTCCTTTCCACGTGAAACAGTGCAGTGTCTGATAAATGGTAGGCACTTAATAAATACATATTGATTTAATTAATTGTTTTTTAAAGAGTATGAAATAACTACATTTTTAAAATCTGTTTTAAATGGACTCATATGCCATCTATGTGAGAAAACTATATATCTGATATAAAACAAATATATTTATATATGAAATGGAAAGAAGAAAAAATCAGTTCTCAAAAGAATAACCCTCCATAGTTGATCATGTTAAATTATCCATAGAAACATCACCTGCTGCTCTTATTATATAAGAATTCTTTCATGTTTGTCTATTGACATGTACATGTTTTAAAAGTTTAGTATTTGAAACTCAGAATCACTCAGAATTCCAAAGTGCAGTACAAATATTTTCCCATTGGTCAGAAGGCAGCATGTCATTTAAGCTGGGTGCATGCATATATGATAATGTAAGAAACACTGTTAGCTCAACTCACCCTGGACTTTGCCCTAGTCAACATGTGGACATTCACAAGGGTTCGGACACTGCCATATGGCCAAGTAGGTTGAGGACCAAAGCTTGTGTGATGTGCCCCCAAATAAAGGCATGACAGTTGACCAGGAAGTTCAGCCCATGCACACTTCAGAGTCCAAATGGAAAATTAGCTACACACACACACACACACGCACACACGCACACACGCACACACGTGCACACCAGTCCATAGCTACTGGAGAGCCAAAACATCAAGTTTACAAAGAAGGAATGGCTCTATTGGGAGCAGAGATGGCAGTGTTCTGGGCAGGGGGACACTATTTCAATATAGCAGTGGCTTGTCATAATATACTCTGTAACATTAAAGTCTCTAAACCAAACCCTCTAGCAAATACATGTTGGCAAAACTATGGAGACTCATAATTCTGTCCTTCCAGAAGTTATCTCCTGAGCAAAACAAGCTCCTTAATACAGCTTCTCATTTTTTGCCAAAAAAAGAGGCAAGAATAATGATAAAATTCATTTCATATAGGACTTACCTGAAAAACAGTTAATACATATATCTCATACATATGTGTGTTATCTATGTATCTCAGTTATAGACTACAATTTTCATAAATCTGCCCAATTGTGTAATACATTTTCTAGAGAAACACTTAAAAAGAGCCTGGAAGAACTCATGATGAAGAAAACATCACAATTTTCAAACACTGTCTTTAGAATGTAACAAATTTGGAATAAATCACTGGAGTTTTCCTGCAACTTCTCTCAAGACTTGGATTTGCTCTTAATACTTCTGCTTCATGATATATTAATAGCTTAGTATTTGAACTTCTTATGTAGTGCCCTCTACTCTTGGTAGAGTTAACCCCAAAGACAAAATCTAAATGGCTGATTTCTTTTAAAATGTTGAAATACTAAATTCAACTTGATAAATTTGATGAATTCAAATTTTAAAACTTCACAACCGAGACAAGTAGTTAACATCTAATTATATTGATTTGTAGATAATACTCCTGAAATACTATTACAGGTTAGCAATAAGTTTGTGATGAAAGTTGAATTTTTGGCTGGTGTTATTATATTAAAAAATAATGACAACATTTTATTTATACACATGTTAATATACTGTAGTTATACTTCTCCATAGATTTCCAAATAGGACTTACAGCATTCCCTAGAGATATGTTTTCATGAATTATGGAGTAGTCACCCAAAATGGACTATATTGGCACCAAAGAACATTTTGGACCCATTATAAACCCTGAAGAGCAACAGTAAAGAGACAATTTGTTATTGTTTGCAGTTAACATTTGAGGGAAGGCTTTCATGGCTGGTAGGTTTTTTATAGGATGGGTTTTTATATAAGGGGCATTCATATAAGTTAAATAAGCAGAGTGACAAAATGCAACCTTGATGTACTCCTTTCCCAATATGGAAACAGTCTGTTGTTCCATGACCAGTTCTAACTGTTGTTTCTTGACCTGAATACAGATTTCTCAGGAGACCGGTAAGGTGGTCTGGTAATCCCATATCTTTCAGAATTTTCCACAGTTTGTTGTGATCCACACGGTCAAAGGCTTTAGCATAGTCAGTGAAGCAGAAGTAGATTTTTGTTTTGGAATTCTCTTGCTTTTTCTGTGATCCAAAGGATGTTGGCAATTTGATCTGTGGTTCCTCTGCCTTTTCTAATCCATCTACTACATCTGGAAGTTCTCAGTTCATGCATGTACTGTTGAAGCCTAGCTTGAAGGATTTTGAGTATTACTTTGCTAGCATGTGAAAGTGCAGCTGTACGACAGTTTGAACATTCTTTGGCATAACATCATTGACTCAATGGACATGAGTTTGAGCAAACTCTGGGAGATGGTAAAGGACAGGGAAGCCTGGCATGCTGCAGTCCCTGGTGTTTGCAGAGAGTAGGATACAACTTAGCTATGGAGCAATAAGAACAGCAACTCCTATATGTGGGTTTGCTTGTAAATGAAAACAACACTGCTAGTTACAAAGTCTTCCTTTTTCCCATTACAGGTGTCAAGGCAAGAAAAATCCTAAGCAAGGGAGTGGATGTAGAAGGTCCAGTACCTATTAGACTTCATTCCTTCCTTCAAAGAGTCTGCAATCTGGTATCATTCTATTTTCCTACCTTCTTTGTAAAGTCCCTAGGAGTGGTGCTTTGGGATCTAAGAGTCCATAGAGCTAGATCTGGGCAAGTAGGGAAGAGCTAACTTTACAGAAATGAATTAAAATTTATTAAAAAGGTTTCAGGAAGTATTTATAAGTGGATTTGGTTACAATATGTGATTCTTCCTGAACTGTTAAGAGAAACTTCAGCCCAAGTCTAAAAGGACATGTCCATTTATCCTTTAGTCCATCAGGAATACTTACTTTGTTAATCCCATTTTCTGCCTGGTCCCCTTCCATTTTTGCATAGTGTAGCCTTTTTTCATTTACGTTGTCTAAGTCAGGAAATTAGAACTGAAGCACCTCTGGGCCGAGCCCTTGTCTGCCTACGTGTTTATCAAGCATTATGTACACTTACTGCACTCTATAAATAATAATAACAGTAATTACCCTCTATACAAAATTAGAATATAAGCATATTCATCCAGTCTAGTATGCTGATTTGCTTTAGTGCATCATAATTATTTCATGAAACCAATGGTATAATGGGCACTACATTATACAATCTTCCAAAAATATGTTACTATATATTCTGGCAGGAGATGCACCTGCAGTTTTTCTCCACCCACCTCTAGGCTACAGAAATGGCAGGGTGATACTTACGTGGTATTCATGTTGCAAAGTATTCAAAGTAATCTCCTTTTAAGCCTTTTCCATCCAAAAAGCCAGGCAGCATAAAGTATGGTTAAGATATATTTGTCCAGAAGGAGTAAGTTAAACAAGAAGATGGGAGTGTATGATTTGTCCCACATAAAGGACATGAGAATTACAGATTGCCTCACACTTTTTGCAGGAAATACAGGGCCTGGGGGCATTTATGTGCGCTGTTGTTGTTGTTGTTCAGTCACCTAGTCGTGTCCAACTCTTTGTGACCCTATGGACTGCAGCACACCAGGCCTCCCTGTCCCTCACCATCTCCTGAAGTTTGCCCAAGGTCATGTCCTTTGCATCGGTGATGCCATCCAGCCATCTCATCCTCTGATGCCCTCTTCTCCTTCTGCCCTCAATCTTTCCCAGCATCAGGGTCTTTTCCAATGAGTCAGCTGTTCAGTTCCAATGACCAAAATACTAGAGTTTCAGCTTCAGCATCAGTCCTTGCAACAAGTATTCAGGGTTGATTTCCCTTAAGATTGACTGGTTTTATCCCCTTGCTGTCCAAGGGGCTCTCTCAGGAGTTTTCTCCAGCACCACAGTTCCAAGGCATCAATTCTTTGGCACTCTGCCTTCTTTACCGTCCAGCTCTCCTAACCATACATAACTACTAGGAAGACCATAGCCTTGACTATACAGATCTTTGTTCACAGAGTAATGTCTGCTTTTCAACACACAGTCTAGGTTTATCATAGCTTCCCTGCCAAGAAGCAAATATCTTCTGATTTGATGGCTTCAGTCACCATCTGCAGTGATTGTAGAGCCCAAGAAGAGGAAATCTGTCACTACTTCCACCTT